CGTGTATGGGTGGTGTGGATACTGTGTGTGTGTGTGTGTGTGTGTGTGTGTGTGTGTGTCCTGCTAGCTTCACTCCGTGTCATACAACCTGCGTTGCCACACACTCTTCAGAAAATCATTGTCAATGGCTACAGGGCAGCCCCCGGCATTCGTGTTCAGCCACTGGCCTAGAAAGCATCCTTATGTGGGTAGCTGCTTCTTGAAATCAGAATAAGGCAGATCAGAACCATTTAGTCTCCTTTGAAAGAGTGAGGCGACAGCCTGGGCGAGTTGGCCGCGTGGATTTTTACTGACTCCCTGTGGGTCCCCTGTCCCCACGCCTGCACACTCCGACTGACGTCAGGGTACGGGACGTGTCTACTGCAGACACCGTATCACGTGTTCACTCAACAGCTGCCACTGCCAGGCACTGGGATGCAGCAGTGAGGGGGACGGCAGGGCCCTGGACCCTCCATGAGCTCAATCTGGTGAGGAGGTGGCATGAAATATAGTTGCAAAAATCATTCTCACTTCCTTGTCCAACAGGAGCCCCGACTGAACGGAAGGGGCCTGCTGCCCTGAGGAAGCCTCCCTTAAGCTAAGAAGCCAAGGACATGTGGTCATCATCTGGCCTGGGGCAAGCTGGCAAGGCATGGCACCTGGACTCAGACAGCCAAGAGGAGGCGGGGAGGAGGCGGGGAGGAGGAGGAGCCGGCCGGATCTCACGGGACTCCGCAGGCCAGTTGGGGAGTGTGGGGTTTATCCTCAGCACAACCGGAAGCCACTGCAAGTTTGGAGCCTTTCAAGCACCGTGGGCCTTTTAGAAAGATCCCCTGTAACAAACAGAACCAGTTAGAAAACACTGTAAAGAGCTCACTCGTGGGACCAGCAGTTAGTGTAATGGCTATGTCGCTGGACTTCCACGTAGTCGACCGCGGTTTGCGTCCCAGACCCGGTGGCTTAAAACTCACACCGGCCCGTGTGCGTGCCATGCCCAAGATCCCCTCTCTGTCTTTCTGGCGAACGCATGCGCCCTATAGCAAAAACCTCTCCAAAAAAAAAAAAAGAGCTCATTCATAAGAACACAGAGGAAATCCATTTATCAAGAAATAAGTAATCCATCTCCCAAAGACAAGTTGTATGGTTTACTCAGAGCCCTCAAGGAAGACTTGAATTCAAGTGGGAAGACACGTTTTGGTCTTGAACAAGACAGTATTGTGAAAGTGCTAAGTGTCCTTGAATTATCTATGTATTTGAGACACAGGTCATCTTTTTTTTTTTTTATCATTGGTTTTGAGTGAGAAAACACACTTATGTGACCAGATAAATTGATGGATTTAATGATGAATTGAACAGAAATAGAAGTGACAGGTGGTATGAAATTTTTTTTTTGAGAGGTTTTTGCTATAGGGCGCGTGCGCTCGCCAGACAGAGAGAGACATAGAGACAGGAAGCGAGAAATCACCCCCCGGGGGGGGATGGTCGCGCCGCAATCCCTTCTCCTCCATTCTCCTCTTAGGATCTTGGGCACGCATGCATGCACACGCGCCCGGCGTGAGTTTTAAGCCACCGGGTCCAGGACGCGAACCGTGGTCTACTATGTGGGAGTCCAGCGGCAGCCATTACGCTAACTGCTGATTACCTACACAGGTCATCTTCTGATTTTATTTTTAATTTGCCAAAGGCATATGCACTTGCTAGAGAGAGTCAGAGAGAGAAAAAAAAAAAAGGAAGCACTTCCCATGGGGGTGGTCACACCACAATTCCTTTCCCTCCTTTTCTCCTTCCTTTCAGAATTTTGGACATGCATGCACATGCGGCAGGGGAATTTCCCAAGCCACAAGTCTGGGATTCTAACCACAAAGCTGGCTATGTGGGATCCAGCACCCTTCACTGTGATGCCTGTAACCTTCTGAATCTTGTTTTTTCCCAAATAATTATTTTATTTACCTTTCTTTCTCTACTTATTTATTTTGACCAGAAGGGAAACAGAGCGAGCAAGCAAGAGAAAGAGAGAGAGAGAGAGAGAGAGTGAGAAAGCAAGCCACCAGGTCTGGGACCCAATTAAACCCTGGGTTTAATTTTTATCTCTCTGATGAATAAAGTTAAATAAAATAATTCTTTAAAAAACAAATGAACAAAAACTCAAGTCAGTCTGTGGGTAATGGTTGAAGCAGCTGGGTCCCACTTGGCAGACAGCACAGTCCGAGTCCCAGACCCGGCAGCTTGAAAAACATGCCAGGCGCATGTGCGTGTGTGCCCCGAATCCTGAAAGCAGAAATGCAGAAGGGACTGCAGCATGATCATCCCCCATGAGGATACGCTTACGCCTTCCCTCTCTCCAGTGAGCACACGGTCCTCTGGCAAATTAAGCAAACTCAGCTCGACTCATAATTGTAAAAATATGAATTAAAATAAAATCCCATTTCTCACCGATCAGACTGATAAGGATAAGGGAAGTGTTGGTGAAGATGAGCAGAAAATGGGTGCCGCCGCTACGAGAGGCCGTTTGGCAACAGCTACGTGGACACAGTGATGGCCCATCCCTGGAGGCCCAGCACAGCCCCCCTTCCAGGGCGGAGTCACTGCAGCTCTCCCTGTGAGAGCGCAGCACTGGGAACAGGGGTGCTCCCCAGGTGTGGCGACATGAGGAGAGCTCCAGCCTTACTCTTGAGTGGAAAATGCAAAGTGCAGAAGCCTGGGTGGTCTGATTTTGAAGGTTATGTACCTACACACACATTATACACCTGGATGCAATTCCATATGCACACATCGGACCATTCGTGTGCTCACAAACATGTGGAAGGGATGCCGAAGGAAGTGGCTGCCTCTGTGAAGGAGGTCTGGAGGTGGAGCTGGTGTGGGCTGTCAGTTTTTGACTTTCTGTTAACACCTTCCTATACTGGTTCAATTTCCATGGTGAGACTGTATTATGGTTTTTTTCCTTTTGTTAGAAGGTGCATGTATTGGGACCAGCAGTTGGCATAATGGCTATGTCGCTGGACTCCCATGTAGTCGATTGCGGTTCGAGTCCTCGACCTGGTGGTTTAAACTCACGCCAGGCGTGTGTGCGTGCCCAAGATCCCGAGAGGAGAATGGAGGAGAAGGGGTTGCGGCATAGGTATCCTCCCTGGGGGGTAATTTCTCACTTTCTGTTTGTCTCTCTCTCTCTTTCTGGTGAGCTCACGCATGCGCCCTATAGTAAAAACCTCCCCCCCCCCAAAAAAGAGGGTGCATGTGTTTGCCAGAGAGACCTAGAGGGAGAGGGGAAGCACCTCTGCCAAAGGGGCGTGGTCACGTCACCTCCTCTCCCTCTCTCTGGAATTTCATCCTCCTGTTGGGATTTTGAGTACGTACCTAGCTGCACTCAGCACTTTTCAAGCCACCAGGGCCAGGATTTGAATCATGGTTGGCCATGTGGGAGCTGACTCCTTTAATTGCTAAACTACAGGGCCAGCCCTGTATTGCTTTTTGCGTAGTACCAACATCTGTAGTTTGTTACTGTGGTCATTTTAAGATCACGCAGACTGGGGACTAGCAGATGGAGTAATGGTTACATCTCTGGATTCCCACATAGTCAACCTCAGTTCGAGTCCTGGACCTGGCGGCTTAAAACTCACACCAGGTGCATGCGCTTGGGTGTCCACAATCCCAAGAAGGGAACGGAGGAGGAGGGGTTGTACGGCACCCCTTTCTGCTCACCCTCACCAACACTTCCCCATATCTTTGTCACTCTGATAGGTGAGAAATGGTTTTATTTTCAATCGTATTTTTAAAATTGAGTTGAGCTGAGTTATTTGTTTAACTTGCCAGAGGATCATGGGCTCACTGGAGAGAGGGAAGGTGTAAAAACATCCTCATGGGGGATGATCATGCTGCAGTCCCTTCTCCATTTCTGCTTTCAGGATTCTGGGCACACACACACGCGTGCCTGGTGTGTTTTTCAAGTTGCCACGTCTGGGACTCGAACTATGCAGTCTGCCAAGTGGGATCCAGCCACCTCAACCACCACCCACTGGCTGACTTGAGTTTGTTTGTTCATTTGGCCAATCACTCCCAGGGGTGATTTCTTGCTTTCTGGCTCTCTGGTGAGCGCACATGCCCTATAGCAAAAAATCTCTCTCTAAATAAAAGATCGCATAGGCTGCAGTGGCAAGAACTGACCGTTAGGAGACAAGCGCTCTGCAGAGAGATGCATGGCCGCTCAGGTCCGACGTGTGCAGGGTGCAGTAATTCAGCGCTGGCTGCAAAGAAACAAAATAGGTTCGAGATTTACTTAAAAGGCAAAATCCAGGCCAGCAGGTGGTACAGAGGCTAAGGTGCTGCATCCCACATAGCTGACTGAGCAAGCAGTTCAAGTCCTGGGCGCAGTGGCTTGAAAATTATGCTGGGCACATATGCATGTGTGCCCAAGGTCCTGGCAGGAGAATGGAGGAGAAGGGGTGGCAGCGTGGCCATCTCCCGTCAGGGGTGAGTTCTCATTTTCCCTCTCTCTCTGTCTGTTCCTCTTTGGCAAGTACACACACCCTACAGGTAAAACTAAAGGGAAAAAAGGCAAAGCTGGGGCCAGGGGGTGGCATGGTAGTTAAAGGCGCTGGACTCCCACAGGGCTGAACGCAGTTTGTGTCCTGGACCTGGTGGCTTGCTTTCTCACTTTCCCTCTCTCTTTCTCTTTCTCTCACTCTGTCCCTTTCTGGTCAAATTAAAATAAATAAATAAAACAAATAAAGTTAAATAAAATAATACTTTTTTAAAAAACATAAAACTGACAGAAAGGATGGTGAGAATGGGACCCTTACTTCCCCAGGGCCACTCTCCCATCCCTCTTTCCTGTCCTATGGCAAACATCATCCCACACGAACTCAGCCTCAGAGTTGAGACTCCCAGGGGCACAGGTCATGGGGGCCTCAGAGATGCCAGTGGGGTGTGGGCTGGCTCTGCCCTCCAGCCCCCAGCACACAGCCTCAGGGACGCAGGGAGAAGCCCGCTTGGCCCGTGCCGAATGAGCATTTGAATGGGTGCCACGCACCTGTAAGACCTTAGTTCATCGGAAAGCTGGAGCCTGTGCACGCAGGGCCCGTCCTGGCAGGTGCACCACCCACCTGTGCCCGCCGTCGCTCTGCCCTGCCTGAGCCCTGGTTCTTGTCCAGCAAGTCATGGTGCGACATATGTGTGGGATGGCTTCTGTGATGATTTCCGGGTTCTTGGTGTTTCAAAGAATTGAGGGAAACCTGCAAATAGTGTAAGGAAAACGGAAGCTTCTTAAGTAAAAGTACACTCCTGAGAAGTAGGAGCGGGTCTGAACGGACAGAGAAAGCGTGGCTCAAAAGGCCTTGGCAGTTGCTTTCTGCCAGATTTGTCATTTTTCACCTAGGTCATGTGGGTTGATGGTTGGCTGGGCCCACTGACTGTTTTCATCCTATTGGCTCCATCCAAGGTGGCTGGGCCCACTGAGTCATCTCATTGGCTATATTCAATGTGGCTTCGTCGGTTAGCCATCCCCTACTAATCTCTTGCCTACATGATCTTGGGCACGACGTTTTCCACCCTGATCGTTTTCTCTACCTAGCCACATGGGAAGACGCTCTAGCCCCCTTACTTCCATTTGCTGGCTTCCTCCTGCCTCCTAAAGACCAACAGATTCTGATTTGAGCAGGAGGAAGCGGTGCAGACCCACACCCACGAGCCTGAGCCTGGGCCCCACACTCCTTGCCTGGTCCCAGGCCTCTGAACCTTGCCCTGCCCCTTGCATCTCCTGCTTACAAGGAACGACCCTTGCTTGGCCTGCCCCACTGCCCTTCCTGCTGGGCCCTACCTTCCTCAGACTGCCTCCCTCCAGCCCTCAGCACCCGAAGGCCCCAAAACCAAGGAGCAGGAGCCACGGATTGTTTCAGAACCACCAGGAAAGTCTAAAGGATTCTTGGAGGAGGCAACATTTGAATTGAGCCTTGAAGAATGAAGAGGTATGAGTTTCTGCCAGATAAAAAGAGGATGTAGATGTGAACAAGGTATTCAGGGGACCAGCAGTTAGCATAATGGCTATGTTGCTGGACTCCCATGTAGTCGACCGCAGTTCACATCCCAGATGCAGTAGCTTAAAACTCATGCTGGGCGTGTGTGCGTGCGTGCCCAAGATCCTGAGAGGAGAATGGAGGAGAAGGGATTGCGGCGTGACCATCCCCCCTGGAGGGTGATTTCTCGCTTTCTGTCTCTCTGTCTCTGTCTGGCAAGCGCACGCGCCCTATAGCAAAAACCTCTTAAAAACAAAACAAAACAAAACAAAACAAAAACAACAGCAAGTTTCTCGTAGGGTGGGACTGAGGGCTTGATGTTGGGTAGAGGCAGCCAGACTGGCCCATGTTCTAGAGAGTTCCAGTCAGAAGAGTGACCTCGTACCTCAGTGACCCGGTTCCCTGGTGAGCTCCCTCCACAGGCCTCTGTGCAGTTTACTATGTGTGGCCTGCCTTCTCTGTGTCCCCCAAGGAAGGAACATCCATCCCTGTCCTCCGGCACGCCCCAGGCCATAGGGCTATAGCAGATGCTCAGCAAAGGTTTGTGGACCTGAAAGAAAAAACATATTTGCAATCGTGGTGGCCACACTACCATAAACACAGGACAAAATCCCAAGTTATAATGGTGAATATCATTATTTATTTATTTATTTATTTAGAGAAATTTTTGCTATAGGGCACATGGGCTCACCAGAGAGACAGAGCGAGACAGAGAGACAGAAAGGAGAAATCATCCCCCCGGGGTGGGGAGGGGGGTGGGGGGGATGGCCACGCCGCAATCCCTTCTCTTCCATTCTCCTCTGGGGATTTTGGCCATGCATGCACACACACCCAGCGTGAGTTTAAGCCACCTGGTCCAGGACTTGAACCATGGATCAACTATGTGGTAGTCCAGCCACATAACCATTATGCTATCTGCTGGTCCCGATGATGAACATTACTGTGAATTAGAGACAAAGTACATGCCCGTAGAACAGCACCCCGACAGTAGCCCCCTTTCACAGACGGAGAATCTGAGGCCAGTGACCTGCCCACATTCCACAGTGGCAGACCAGGGCCCCTCCCTCAGAGCTGGTTTCTCACAGAAAACAGGCCGGAGGAACATCTCAGAGGACAGGAGCCGGTCCTGGTGTGTCCAGTGTGCGGAGGGCTACGGTTGCTGCTGTCTTGGCCTGGGAAGCTGGGGAAACATGGGAGGGGTTGGGTCTGTTTGTGGGGCTCCTGTGGCCAGTCTGGGAGTCACTGGGTGACAGTCGTACTCCTGCCCCTTTCCCTCCTCCCTGCCCCATTCAACCAACCACCCAATACTTCCCTGGATGAGTTAAGTTTCAGGGTTCTGAGTCAGATTTCCTCCAAAGAAGCCCACCTACCAAACTGAGTTGCCAGATTTAGCAAAAACACAGGCCAGGGCACTGTGGGCATCCTGATACTACACAGGATATCCTTAGACTAGAAAATCATCTGTTGCTTAGCGCAAATTTGAATTTAATCGGGCATCCTAGATTTTTATCTGGCAATCCAAATGGCAAAAAGTTAACATTAAATAAAATACAAACTAAAGGGGCCAGCAAGTGGTGTGGTGGTTGAGGCACTGGACACCCACGTGGCCAACTATGGTTCGAGTCCCAGGCCTGGTAGCTTGCTTTCTCACTTTCCCTTTCTCTCTCTCCCTCTTTCTGGTCAAATTAAAAAATAATAACAAATGGAATTAAGTAAGTAGTTTTTTAAAATACAAACTAAAATTCAAATGAAAGAAAAAGTGAAGTAAAAATATAAATTAAAATAAGAACAGGGACCAGTAGTTGGCATAATGGCTATGTCACTGGACTCCCACGTAGTTGACCACAGTTTGAGTCTCGGAATCAGAGGCTTAAACTCACACCGGGCATGTGGGTGTGCATGCCCAAGATCCCGAGAGGAGAATGGAGGAGAAGGGATTGCGGGGGGGGATTTCTCGCTTTCTGTCTCTCTGGGTCTTTCTGGCGGGCACATGCGTCCTATAGCAAAAACCTCTCCAAAAAAATAAAAAATAAAAATAAGAATAGACCAAGGGCTAGCAGGTGGTGTGGTGGTTAAGGGTTCTGGACTCCCACATGACCTACCATGGTTACAGTCCCAGACCTGACAGCTTGGTTTTTCACCTTCTCTCTCTCTCTCTCACTCTGTCCCTCCTCTCTGGTCAAATTAAATAAATAAAGTTAAATAAAAATAATAATTTAAAATTTTAAAAATTAAAAAAAGAATAAGCCAGTAGATGAGAATCTGCACCCATTGCTCAGCAGCCCTCCAGGGTGGCTTGGGGCGATGGCCCCAATTCTGATCCAGGCGGCTCTCTACGATCTGTGCGCGACTGCGCTCCCTCTTGACGCGCCAAGGTCCTCGGTTTGCCTCCCAGGTGGGGATCGCCTGCGATCTGCGCTGCCGCCTGGGGCCCTTCTTACCGAAAGAGTGACCTACACAACGGTTTTTCAACGGCTTTTAACCGATTCCAGAGCGTTCTAGGGGCTTTCCGGGGCCTGGCAAAGGAGCGCCTGGAGACTGCGCAGTGGCTGCGGCAGGTTCAGGAAGCCCCGCGCGCCGGTCGCTCCTCCGCCTCCGCAGCTTTGTCTTGCTGGGGAGAAGGTCTTTGGCGCCGCCCGTGTCCCAGGAGGTCTCAGGACGCCCTTTAGAGCCCCGTGGGAGGGTGACGCCTGTGACAGCTCTTCTAGCTGTACTTTGCTGTCCCTGTCAGTCATTCTGCCACTCAGATCCCAGGAGTGACACTGCGTAGGTAGAAACAGGTGTGTGCCTTGGGAGTGAGAGAGGTGGGAGGGGTCGGAGGGTCCTTAGATTTTTCCTGCAAATCCGAATGCTGAAAGGCACAGTGGGGAACTTTTGCTCACTTGAGGGAAAGCCAACGGGCCCCTTAGAAAGGCAATAATAAAGACATCACAATATTCAGTTAGTAACACCTAATAATACAGTCCTAAACAGCCCAGAACCTTACACCCTGTAACCTCACACTCTAGGAATTTATCCTAATGAAATAGTTCAACGGAATAAAAGTTCTACATGCATAATTATGGCATTGTTGGCTGTGGCTAAACATTAGAAACAGTTTAATGGGCCAGCAGGTGGCGTGGTGGTTGAGGGGGCTGGACTCCCACATGGCTGACTGTGGTTTGAGTCCTGGACTTGGCAGCTTGCTTTCTCACTTTCCTCCTCTCTTTCTCTGGTTAACTTCAATAAAAATAAAATGAAGACAATGAATAAAATTAAAATAATTCTTTAAAAAAAGAAACAAATCTAACAACTTAGTAAAGGAGATGCTTAAGAGTTCACATGCACAGATGGAATTGCTGTGCAGCCAGTAGGTGTTTACTGTAGAGACATTGTTCACAGCACAATCTTCCAGAAAAATGGCTTCACGTGAAATGGGGTATCCTCTGGGCACCACACCAGAGCTACTTTTCTTTTTTCTATTTTTATTAATTGCCAGAGGGCACATGCACTTGCCAGAGAGAGATGGGAGAAGCGAGAGAAAGCACCGCCAGTGGGGCAAGGTCATGCTTTGATCCCGTCTCCATTTCACCATCCCGTGGCGACTTAGGGCATGCATGCACATGCGCCTGGTGTGTTTTTCAAGCTGCCAGTGCTGGGGTTTGAATTGTGATTGACCATGTAGGATCCAGCTCTTAACCACTAGGCCATGGGGTCTGCCCTGCTTCTTTAACTGACTATTTTTATTAAAATAACTGTATTTATTTATTTATTTTTAATTTTGACCAGAGAGGGACAGAGTGAGAGAGAACAAGAGACCGAAAGTGAGAAAGCAAGCCACCAAGTCCAGGACTTGAACCACAGTCGGCCATGTGGTAGTCCAGTGCCTTTAACCACCATGCCACCTACTGGTCTTGATTTTTTTTCCCCCACTGTGCAACCCAGTTCAGTGCCAGCAGCCCACAGGTAGAAGCCGGGCAATGGCTCAGGGCCAGCTTGCTCTGCCATGGGATACTCTGAGAGGCCCAGGGGGACAAGCCTGCCATAAATCCAAACCCATGCATAGCCCTGATTTTTTAAAAGAATTATTTAATTAATTAGTTTATTTTTCATTTGAGCAGAGAGAGGGAGAGAGATGGAAAGTGAGAAAGCAAGCTGCCAGGTCCAGGACTCGAACTGTGGTCAGCCATGTGGGAATCCAGCAGTTTAATCACCACGCCACCTGCTGGTCGCACAAACTTATTATTTTTTTAAGAATTACTTATTTAATTTTTTATTTATTCATTCACATATTTTAATTTGACCAGAGAGAAACATAGAGAGAGAAGGAGAGGGAAAGCGAGAAAGCAAGCCACCAGGTCCGGGATTTGAACTGTGGTCAGCTATGTGGGAGTGTCCAGTGCCTTAACCACCATGCCACCTGCCGGTCCCTCCACAAACTTATTTTTTAAAGTTCATGGAAAATGCATGTTATGGGGACGGCCCTGTGGTACAGTGGTTAAGCACTGTGCATAGAGAACCATATCTCACAGGGCCGAGACAGTTCAATTCTTGACCCTGGAAGCTTGAAGAACACTCTGGGTACATGTGCATGTATCCCCAAAATCCTAACTGGAAAGAGAACTGCAGGGAAAAGAATGGCAGCATGACCACCACATTTGAGGGTATTTCTCTCTCTCTCTCTCTCGTTCTCGCTCTCTTTCTCTCTCTTCCCCTCTGGCAAGCATGTATACCCTCAGGCAATTATAGGGTGTGTATGCTTGTCAGAGACAGACAGAGAGAGGGAAAGTGAGAAATCACCCCTAGGGGTGATGGCCACGCCACAATCTCATCTCCTTTATTCTCTTCTCAGGATTTTGGACACACATGCACACATGATTTTCAAGCCGCTGGGTCCAGGACTTGAATCACCATCAGGCATGTGGGAATCCAGCGCCTTAACCCTGTTGTCACCTGCTGGCCACTCAGAATTCTGCATGCATGTATATAGAAATGTGTTAATATGGTGGGATTTGAGAGTTTCTTTTAAATGTTTCTCTTTAATTTGCTGTCATTTAACATGACGGACAGGTGGAGCAGTAAGAGGCAGGGAAGGGAGGAGGTGGGGTTGGGCCATGGTGGCAGAGGCTGAGTGCCTGCTTAGCCATGCCAGGCCTAGCTTTACAGTCTTGGGCAAATCAAGGAACAACTCTTTAGTTTTTCAAGTCCAGTGGGATAATTACCCCTGCCCTAGTAATATTTTATTACAGTATATATATAATTAAATAGCGGGTTACTGTGAGGTTATTTTTCCAAACTCAGGCACTGTCATCCAGGCCTTGGGCATGTCAGTTCACCCACCCTCCAGAGGGTCCCTTGGCACTTCCTCCAGCCTTCTCACCAGTCTCAGCCCAGCTACAAAGAGAAAAGGAAATCTGGGGCTGGATAGTGGCATAGTGCCATGCGTGGCACGGCAGGCCCACCTTAGAAGGTTATCGGTTCATGACCTCAGACCTCTCTGAGTACAGTGGGCATGCATGTGCCCATGATCGGGGCTGATGGAGGCTGGGCATGGATTATGGCATCAGGACCCTACAGGGGATGCTGTATCTCTGTTTCTCTTGCTAATGAAATAAGTTCATTAATTAATTAAAAATAAATTATTATAGGGCACATGCACTCCCTGGAGAGAAACAGAGAGAGAGAGAAAGCACCCCCAGGGAGATGGCCACACTGCAGTCTAGTCTCCTTCTCTCTTCTACTGGGATCTTGGGCATGTACGCATGTGTGCCTGCCATGTTTCTTAAGCCACCAGATCTGGAACTCAAGCCATGCAGTTAGCCATGTGGGATCGATCCGGCTGCCTTAACTTCCACACCACTGGCTGGCCCCCCCAACATAAAACAATTTTAAATGGGATAAGGTCTCTCCACCAGGCAGGTGGTACAAGAGACTTCTCAAACATTTCCATCTGCAAGAGGTCTGGATTCTGGAATGAGACCAGGTCCCAGGGGCAGTTGAAGGAAAAATGCTGTCGGGTGAGACAGGAGTAAATGAAACGGTGCCCACTAGCCTCCTCTGCCGGACTTAGGTTTCTCTTGAGTGGGACCCATGGGGTTCCTGGGCAGGAGGTTACTGTCCAGATACCCTGGGCTCCTTCTCAGGCCTCTCCTCTCAGAATTGTTTTAGGCTATTTATGTACACGGGTGGCCAATCAGGATTTGAATCCTGGCCCTAGAGGCTTGGAAAAGCACATCAGGCACATGTGTGTGCATACCCCAAACCTCGACAGTTTGGAGAAATCGGGGAAAAGGGATTGCAGTGTGACCATGCCCATGTGACCAGACCTCATCAGGGGGTGCTTCCACCCTTTCTTCCTGTTTCTCTCTGACCAATATATGTGCCCTCTGGCAACTTAGAGAAAGAGAGAGAGAGAGAGAGAGAACTTGCTAGAAGAATCCACTTTCTGCCCTTGTCCCCAGTACAACGAAAAATGCCTTTGATCTTGGCCAAGACTACCACTATGGTCTGTGTCCCTCCCAAACCCAAGTGTTGAGATTCAGTGGTGAGGGTAGCAAGAGGAAACTTAATACCTCCATAGTGTAGACAGTGGGGCCTGGGGGAGTGACTGTGATTATGCTGGGCCCTTATGACTGACTCCTGGGGAGTTATGAGAAGGAAGGAGACCAGAAAGCAGCCCCAGAGGTGGACCCTGGACTTTGGCCCTCCAAACCATGAGCTGAGTAAACACCTGTTCTGATAAATCACCCTGTTTCAGGTATTTTCTGTTACTAGCAATGGAACGGAACATCTACCGGGGAGAAGGAAACCCACCTCCGCAGCATGCTGGGATGGGGAGAGCATTTTCACACTCCCTTTCAAACAGGGATCCCACCACAGCTGAGCCCCTGGGGGTGCAAACCCAGAGGTGGGCAAGGCCCTTCTCTCACTTAACCTAGAAACATGGGTGTTGAGCACTGATGCTGCGGAACGTGGGAAGCAAATGGAAGGATTGGTGGTGGGGGTTATGGGCCAAGATGACCTTCTTTCTTTCCTTTTTTTTTTTTAAGAATTAATTTTATTCATTCATTCATTCATTCATATTTGACCAGAGAGAGAGAGACACACACAGAGAGAGAGAGAGAGAGACGAAATGGGAAAGCGAGACACCAGATCCGAGACTCGAACCTTGCTTGGCCACGTGGGAGTGTCTAGCGCCTTAACCACCATGCCACCTGCTGGTCCCCGAGATGACCTTCTTTCTGTACATCTCAAACCGGTGCCCATTCCTGGACCACCCCTCACCCAGCCCTGCCCCATGCAGTATACACAGCCCTGAAGGTGCTCCGACCACAGGCCCGCCTGCGCTCACCAGGAATTCTCACGATGATAGCTCTGTTACCGCCCCGTTTCCTAACAGAGGACAGCGAGGCCTTTTTAGGGCCAGATGTGACCTCCCACTACACTCTTGCCACCTGCAATCACCCAAGAGTCCCCTCCTCACCACCAGGCCATTTCATCCAGAGTAGTGAGAACTGCAAG